TCTTAGCTCTTTGCAACCTCCTCCTCCTGGATTCAAGCAATTCTCTTGCCTCAGCTTCCCAAGTAGCTAGGATTACAGGCGTGTGCCACCACATTGGCTAATTTTTGAATTATTAGTAGAGATGGGGTCTCACCATGTTGGCCAAGCTGGTCTTGAACTCCTGACGTCAGGTGATCCGCCTGCTTCACCTCCCAAATTGCTGGGATTACAGGCGTGAGCCACTGGGCCCGGCCTTGATTTAGTTTTCACAAGAGCCTGTAATCCCATCTTGGTTTAACCGATCATTCAGTATATGGCTATTTACCTGCCTACCTGCAAGAATAACTGTACTTAGGTACTTGTCAGGAAAAGAATCAAAGTTACTGCTTTCAGAAGCTTGACTGAGACAAACGCTTATGTACTGAATATTTTTGGCTGAGCACAGTGGCTGGCTTATACCTGTAATCCCAGAATTTGCGAAGCCAATAGTCTCAGCTACTCAGGAAGCTGAGGTGGGAGGATTGCTTGAGCCCAGGAGTTCAAGGCTGTAGTGAGCCATGACACTGTAGCCTGGGTGATAGAGTGAGACCTTGTCAGAACAAAACAAAACAAAATCCTAAAAAGGCTGGCGAGGTGGCTCATACCTCAGAACTTTGGGAGGCCAAGGTGAGAGGATCTCCTGAGCCCAGGAGTTCAAGACCAGACTAGGGAATATAGTGAGACCCTAATCTCTACCAAAAACAAAACAAAAATTAGCTGGATGTGGTGGCACACACCCTGTAGTCCCAGTGACTCAGGAGGCTGAGGCAGAAGGATCAGTTGAACCCACTAGATCAAGGCTGCAGTGATTGTGCCTGCATTCTAGCCTGGGTGACAATAAGACCCTATCTCAAAGAAATAAAAATTATAGTTCTCCTTATGTATTTTTTCTTTTGTTACATTTGCTTTTGTGGTCATATCTGAGAAACTATTGCCTAACCCGGTGGCATCTAAGATTTTTTTTTTGAGACAGAGTCTCGCTCTGTTGCCCAGGCTAGAATGCAGTGGTACGATCTCGGCTTACCACAACCTCTGCTTCCTGGGTTCAAGTGGTTCTCCTGTCTCAGCCACCCGAGTAGCTGGGACTGTAGGCGCTCGCCACCATGCCTGGCTAATTTTTGTATTTTTAGTAGAGATGGAGTTTCACTGTGTTGGCCAGGCTGGTCTCAAACTCCTGACCTCATAATCATCTCACTTTGGCCTCCCAAAGGGCTGGGATTACAGGCGTGAGCCACCACACCCGGCCTGGCATCAAAGATTTTTAATTTTAGCTCCTACATTTATGTCTGTGATCCATTTTGAGTTAATTTTTGTGTATAGTGGGAGACAGTGATACAGCTTCATTCTTTTGCATGTGAATATCTAGTTTTTCCAGCACCATTTGTTGAAAAGACTTCTTTCTTCATTGAATTGTCTTGTCATCCTTGTTGAAAATCAGTTGACTGTAAATATAAGGGTTCATCCTGGGACTCAGAATTCTAGTCCCTTGATTTATATATTTATCCTTATGCCAGTACCACACAGTGTTGATTACTGCAGATTTGTGTAGTATGTTGTTTTTTAATGTGAAATCAGTTTTCTTGAACATCAGAAGGGCAGGATTGTCTGTCAGTATATTTTTTCTGTAATAGCTTCATAGCTCTAGGCAGGGATGTCCCGTCTTTGGCTTCTCTGGGTCACACTGGAAAAAGAGTTGTCTAGGCCCACACATAAAATACACTAACACTGGCCAGGCACCGTGACTCATGCTTGTAATCCCAGTACTTTGGGAGGTGGAGGCTGGCAGATCACCTGAGATTGGGAGTTCGAGACCAGCCTGGCCAACATGGTGAAACCCCATCTCTACTAAAAATATAAAAAATTAGCTGGGTGTGGTGACGGGCGCTTGTAATCCCAGCTACTCGGGAGGCTGAGTCAGGAGAATCCCTTGAAACTGGAATGTGGAGGTTGTGGTGAGCAGAAATCATGCCGTTGCACTCCAGCCTGGGCAACAGGGGCTAAACTGTCACAAAAAATCAGTCAATCAATCAATCAATAAAATGCACTAACACTAACTATAGCTGATGAGCTAAAAAAAAAAATCTCATAGTGTTTTACGAAAGTGTACACATTTTTGCTGGACTGCATTCAAAGCCGTCCTGGGCTGCATGAGGCCCATGGGCCTTGGGTGGGACAAACATGCTCTAGAGTTTCCTTTTCTGTTATTTTCCTAAAATGTGTTCAAAAATAGGTTCAAGGCCTTGCGCAGTGGCTCACGCCTTCAACATGTAGGATCCTTCAACATTCGAATAAAGTGAAAGTCTTCCCTTACTCATCTTTATCTATTAAGAGTTTAGCTGGATGCTGTGGCTCACGCCTGTCATCCCAGCACTTTGGGAGGCCAAGGCTGGTGGATCACGAGGTCAAGAGATCGAGACCATCTGGTCAACATGGTGAAACTCATCTCTACTAAAAATACAAAAATTAGCTGGGCATGGTTGTGCATGCCTGTAGTCCCAGCTACTCGGGAGGCTGAGGCAGGAGAATTGCTTGAACCCAGGAGGTAGAGGTTGCGGTGGGCCGAGATTGTGCCATTGTGCTTCAGCCTGGGTAGTAAGAGTGAAACTCTATCTCAAAAAAAAATAAATAAATAAAAATAAAGTTCAAAAATAGGGTTTCATAATTTCTAAGATTTGGCTGTTTCTCTCTTCTGCTTTTTGGGGATTGTCTCTTTCCTTTATTTCTTATACCCATATGCTACTCAATTTAAAATCTCTTCCCAGCAGATTATAATATAAAGACCATAGACAGAAGAAAACTGAGCCAGGTGTGGTGGCTTATGCCTGTAATCCCAGAACTTTGGGAGGCCGAGGCAGGTGGATCACCTGAAGTGGGAGTTCCAGACCAGCCTGGCAAACATGGCAAAACCCCATCTCTACTAAAAATACAAAAATGAGCTGGGTGTGGTGGCATGTGCCTGTAATCCTAGCTGCTCTGGAGGCTGAGGCAGGGGAATCGTTTGAACCTGGGAGGTGGAGTTTGTAGTGAGCCAAGATTGCATCACTGCTCTCTAGCCAGGGTGCAACAGCAAGACTCCATTTC